AAAATAGAACTTTTTGGTAAAAACTCAACTCGTCGTGTTTGGAGGACAAAGAATGCTGTGTTGCATCCAAAGAACACCATACCTACTGTGAAGCATGGGGGTGGAAACATCATGCTTTGGGGCTGTTTTTCTGCAAAGGGACCAGGACGACTGATCCGTGTAAAGGAAAGACTGAATGGGGCCATGTATCGTGAGATTTTGAGTGAAAACCTCCTTCCATCAGCAAGGGCATTGAAGATGAAACGTGGCTGGGTCTTTCAGCATGACAATGATCCCAAACACACCGCCCGGGCAACGAAGGAGTGGCTTCGTAAGAAGCATTTCAAGGTCCTGGAGTGGCCTAGCCAGTCTCCAGATCTCAACCCCATAGAAAATCTTTGGAGGGATTTGAAAGTCCGTGTTGCCCAGCGACAGCCCCCAAACATCACTGCTCTAGAGGAGATCTGCATGGAGGAATGGGCCAAAATACCAGCAACAGTGTGTGAAAACCTTGTGAAGACTTACAGAAAACGTTTGACCTGTGTCATTGCCAACAAAGGGTATATAACAAAGTATTGAGAAACTTTTGTTATTGACCAAATACTTATTTTCCACCATAATTTGCAAATAAATTCATAAAAAATCCTACAATGTGATTTTCTGGAGAAAAAAAATCTAATTTTGTCTGTCATAGTTGACGTGTACCTATGATGAAAATTACAGGCCTCTCATCTTTTTAAGTGGGAGAACTTGCACAATTGGTGGCTGATTAAATACTTTTTTTCCCCGCTGTACCTATTTAGGCAATCCCTAGCTGGTGGGCTGCTCAGTCCTGGTCCAGGTGGTCTGCCGTCACTCTGGCCTAACATACCTAAAACCAATAATGAATGTTTCACTAAGATCCAAAAGCTGAGTGAGGTGTGTTGAGTTGGGACAGTGCAGGGCGGTGGACTCCTAGGGGCAGGAAGTGGCGATCAAGCTATATTGTGTGCAAGTAAAAAGAGCTCTACATTACTATTCGGCCTATGATATGAATTACAGTGCCCTCCGTAATTATTGGGACAGTGAAGCAAAACAAACAGCAAATGCATCCAACAAATTTGTAGAGTCACAAGCTTGATCATTGAGTGCTATAAATATGGGACCAAATACTTAATTTTAATACACATAAGTGAATTTTACATTTACATTTTCGTCATTTAGCAGACGCTCTTATCCAGAGCGACTTACAAATTTGTCCCAATACTTTAGCTCCCCTAAAATGGGGGACTTTGTACAAAAAGTGCTGTAATTTCTAAATGGTTCACCCGATATGGATGAAAATACCCTCAAATTAAAGCTGACAAAGTTTTGAAGTATAGAGCCAAAAGAAGTAGAAATGCTTCACTGTCCCAATAATTACGGAGGGCACTGTACATGTAGGATGTGCTGTTTCTGCATGTTAATGTATATGTGTAGGTGTATGTGTGTTTTTAATTAAACTTTTGTTTTCCAAACCTTTCCCTTGAGACATCAAAAAAAAAAAAAACAGGGAAGGAAATTGCGTTGGGAGAGAGTTGAATTGTTGACTAGACTGGTGGGGGTCGGGCGTGCAGGCGGCTTGGGCTGGCTGGTTGGTCTGGCTGAAATGTGATATAGAGGATGTTTTAATAAAGACAGAATTTAAGTCTTTGTACATTATTAGTAAGAGTTCAATTGTTAGGCAATTGGTTTAAGGTGTAACAATATTGATTATTTAATTATCTTTGATCTAGTTCAGTCTTATCAATCACTTAAACATACTTAATAATGATATCTTACCTAGCTTGATAACTGTGGGCATTTTTGCTTACATTTTGTTGTTCTAAATAGAGACGGCTAGAAGGGCCATGGGTCATATTAGATTGTGTAGAAATGCAAGAAATTAGCTTTAGATGCCCACCGCCAGGTTATGTCCCCCTCACTTCTAAAACCAAAGTTGTGCCCCTGGTAACAACACATTCACTGCACCTATCAGGTGTATGTGACAATAATTATTTATTACATTTTTTGGTAGATTTCAATGCAATGCTCACTTAGATGGTGGTTGCTTCACAAAAATTACAATGAACAATGAATGCTTACAAAAACATGCTCATTAACCTAGCTATTTATTGATTGTAAAGAAAATGATGCACAGTCTTTCCAATTTAAGATTTAAAAAAGCAGGCAAAAACGTAAATCATTCAATTTCAATGTTAGTCATATTATTTTCCGTAGCTTCATACACATTCCAGACCTAGAAAGACCTCACTTTTTTAAAGTTCCATCCTCGTTTCCCTGGTAGTGCGGAGCGATTAACAGATATGTATTATTTGTTTGTTTTTTAAACAACTAATTGACATCCTTGGTAGTGTTGAACGATTAACCGAAATGTTCAATTATTTGAATTCCATTTCGTTATTATTTTCCTGTGATCTCTAGAGATAAATCAGATCAAGCCCGAACTGTGTGATGTATTTGGGAGTTGTAGTTTCCAACAGGCCAATCAATACTCTACATATTTTAGCACAGAACATGTGGTAATTAACTACAATGACCATAGTCCATTGTCCAGTCTGTGTGTTTTTTTTAAATCCCTGCTACTTTAGGTTAGTGTGGGGCAGACACAGAGAAGAGACATAAGAATGCGTAATCGAGAGGGATAGAGAGCAGTTGCTTTGCGAGGCATCTCTACCTGAAAATACATTATCTTAGTGATTGATAGTTGGTATTCAGCAGTCATAAAAGTATGCCTTATTTACTTTGAAAAAAATCCAAAAATTCTGATTTTGTCATACAACAGGCAGCAGCTCTATAGAGATGAGATGATGAATAGGAATGAAATAAAGTAATCAAATAAAACAAATGTAATATATACCACTGAAATATTTTAAAGTCATGTGAATAAATAGTTAATAAATGATAAGCCATAATGGGCAGTCACTACCATCATGGGACTTTTATGAATTGTTTTATTCTGTGTTGATACAGCATTCAACCCACATAAATGCATAGTGCATTTAATGTTTGTTTTTTTATCGAAAACTGTGATAATTTGTTTAAATAATCGAACCGAAACTGACCTCAAAAAGCACTAAATGCTCAGCTCTATTCCTTGGCCATTCATAACTGATTGATGTATTAAAAAACTAACATTGATGTATATTTTATGAAAGCACTGTAAAAGTGGAAGATATAGTATCTCTACAAAGCCAGAGCAAATTATTTAAGGATATATAATTTCACAAATAAAGATCATTCTTTAGTGATGCATCTGAATCTTACTAAATCTCCTAATCAAATGTTCACCATCAATATTACAGTCATGTTCAGGAGTACCGGATAGAAAACATTTAGAAATGGAAAACAAAAGTTAGTGCCCTCCCATGTTCTAAATTTTGTGGCTCTACTGCCCTCCTCTGGCCAAACATGGGTAACTACAGCCTACTGGGAGCCCATAGCAGTGCATCAAATCCCAATTGTCTAATTATAAACAACATAGATACTGCCCGGTTGTATTAGGTTCTTATTTAATATCTTAACTTATCAATGCTATATAAATGACAGATTCTCAAATGAATGCCATCTACCAGCAAGAGGGTGTAGCATGCGCATTAGAAACCAGGAGAGGTTATAATATTATATGCCATTTAGCAGACGCTTTTATCCAAAGTGACTTACAGTCATGTGTGCATACATTTTTACGTATGGGTGGTCCCGGGGATCGAACCCACTACCCTGGCGTTACAAGCGCCATGCTCTACCAATTGAGCTACAGAGGACCACAAAATGAAGCACTTTTTATTTAACTAGGCAAATCAGTTAAGAACAAATTCTTATTTACAATGACGGCATACCCCAGAAGACGCTGGGCCAACTGTGCGCCGCCCTATGGGACTCCCAATCACAGCCGGATTGTGATACAGCCTGGAATCGAACCAGGGTCTCTAGTGACTGAGATGCAGTGCCTCAGACCACTGCGCCACTCGGGAGGTTACACGGAGGGACGCCACGTTCAAATAATAGGGCTCCTATGACACATGCATAGAAGTCCTACCCTCAGACTGGAGCCTCCACCAGCATAGTCTCTCACGAGTGTGGTCTCCAAGGCACACACAAGACCCATGACTCTACTTTGGAGAAAATCAAAAAGTATACAGGAAAAGAACAAGACAAAAACACTAGCTTAAAGGCCCAGTGCAGTCAAAAACTTGATTTTCCTATGTTTTATATATATTTCCACACCATGAGGTTGGAATAATACTTTTAAATTGTGAAAATGATTACACCCTGTCAGTGAAAGAGCTGTTTGAAAAGACCGCCTGAAATTGCAGCCTGTTTTGGCATGCCTGGTGACATCACCAGGTGGTAAATTAGTTAATAGACCAATAAGAAAGAGTTCGATCCTATCCGCCAAACCCAGCTAGTTTTCCCCTCCCCACTCCGACAGTCCTAGCTAAATTCTTGCTTGAAATTCCTCTTTGCTAAGAAGCTATAACTGTTTATTTTGGACCATTTTAATTGAAAACAATCACAGTAAGGTACTTAATTGTTACCCAGAACTGATGTGATATTAAGATAAAAAAGAGCTGTGAGTGAACAATGGCACACTACAGGGAACACATCTATTCTCATCAGCAGAAGTAATTCATCTTGGAGTACACATCTTATCCACGCATTCCTCCCAGAATAAAAGTTACTGGCAGTTTACACTCTACAACGATTTCTTGTATTGAAGAGCAATGTCTCATCTATAGAGAATGATAGAGGCCTCTAGTGGCCAAAAGGCCACATTAGCATGGGCAGCGCCATTGAGGGCTTCCACCATTTTAATATAGTCAACTGGGTGGAAGTTACAACTTCATTGGCTGATCCCTCCTGGTGACCCTGATGGAGTCATGTCCAACTGGGTCATCAGGAGGGATCAGCCAATCGTGAAGAAAACAGACAACTATAAAACAGAACCCTCAAAAGGCGCTTCCCATGCCGTCAGATGCGAAAAATAGCACAGATACAAAGATGAGTCCTCTATCTATCTCTATGGTATCATCCCATTTTGTTGGCAAAGGGTAGCCACCTAGTGGTCTAAGCCTCTTATTGCAGAATCAAGTCATAACAACAACAGTAGCAAACAAACAACTTTGGAAGTAGGCCTATATGACAATGGTAACAATGGACAGATCAAATAATAATGATTCGGCAGAATTATGAACGATCTAACAATACAACACTTCTTTGGAGAGAGATACAGGGACATCACTCCACTTCTACACCAGAAAGCACATTAAGTGTTTGTTTAACTTGTATTGGTATATTTATGTTTGAATGATAATTGTAAAGTGATAAGAGAAGTTGCTTGGTAGACCTCAAAGCTTCCTGGTTATGCAGTCAGGAAGTTGCTACCCACCCTTAATATGATTTTTTTACCATGGTTACACCAATAGCCCGGTACAAGGATGGTGCAGTGCAATTTTATTTTCCCTCAAATCCACCTTCCCTCCCTCCTCAAGACAGACACCACCTCAGTTCTCCATGAGGGAGCGTTGTAGAGCCTCCTGGATCATAGTGTGTTCGTCTGTGGCGTAGTCCTGGAGAGAAAGAAAAGCAAGGCATTAATAAATAAGACAGAAAAAAAGAAAAAAAAGAAAGAGGTCCAGAGTACAATAACTGAATTGTGGCCATTGTGTCTTAAGTCCCACTTACCACAAAGGTGTCATAAGAGAAGGTGTGTCTAATCTTGAGGTGCTGGAAGAAGTCAGCGCTCCTGTAGTTAGGGTCTCCCCAAGGCATAGAGGCACAGATAGGACACACCTGCAAGACAACAAAATATAACTTATTTGTTAATCTCTGGACACAGATGGGCCTTTAGCTTGCCTTCACAAGTATCATATAACAAAGCAGCAATAGACATGCACACTCACACTGTCAAATGTCCAGCCATATTTTTACTGGCTTTATCTAATAGAAACCCTTTCGAATGAGGTCCCATGAAAGCTAAAGGTGAGTAGAACTACGCCTGTTCTTGGGGTGGAGACATTTTTTGGAGCAACGCGCACATTGTGTAACATGATACTCTCCACAGTCCATGTGTTCCTAGACCCCCGAATAGCAACATACACAAGGGGGCACTAGGTTTGTTTGACATTACCACATTATATGGCTGTAGGCTCCTCCACTAGCTTGTTGGCTAAAAACAGCAAGCCCCCTAGCCTATTAGCTTCCCACATCTCCCCCATGTGAAATAATCTGATTTACAGTGGGGGAAAAAAGTATTTAGTCAGCCACCAATTGTGCAAGTTCTCCCACTTAAAAAGATGAGAGAGGCCTGTAATTTTCATCATAGGTACACGTCAACTATGACAGACAAAATGAGAAAAGAATTTCCAGAAAATCACATTGTAGGATTTTTAATGAATTTATTTGCAAATTATGGTGGAAAATAAGTATTTGGTCAATAACAAAAGTTTCTCAATACTTTGTTATATACCCTTTGTTGGCAATGACACAGGTCAAACGTTTTCTGTAAGTCTTCACAAGGTTTTCACACACTGTTGCTGGTATTTTGGCCCATTCCTCCATGCAGATCTCCTCTAGAGCAGTGATGTTTTGGGGCTGTCGCTGGGCAACACGGACTTTCAACTCCCTCCAAAATGTTCTATGGGGTTGAGATCTGGAGACTGGCTAGGCCACTCCAGGACCTTGAAATGCTTCTTACGAAGCCACTCCTTCATTGCCCGGGCGGTGTGTTTGGGATCATTGTCATGCTGAAAGACCCAGCCACGTTTCATCTTCAATGCCCTTGCTGATGGAAGGAGGTTTTCACTCAAAATCTCACGATACATGGCCCCATTCATTCTTTCCTTTACACGGATCAGTCGTCCTGGTCCCTTTGCAGAAAAACAGCCCCAAAGCATGATGTTTCCACCCCCATGCTTCACAGTAGGTATGGTGTTCTTTGGATGCAACTCAGCATTCTTTGTCCTCCAAACACGACGAGTTGAGTTTTTACCAAAAAGTTCTATTTTGGTTTCATCTGACCATATGACATTCTCCCATACCTCTTCTGGATCATCCAAATGCACTCTAGCAAACTTCAGACGGGCCTGGACATGTACTGGCTTAAGCAGGGGGACACGTCTGGCACTGCAGGGTTTTAGTCCCTGGCGGCGTAGTGTGTTACTGATGGTAGGCTTTGTTACTTTGGTCCCAGCTCTCTGCAGGTCATTCACTAGGTCCCCCCGTGTGGTTCTGGGATTTTTGCTCACCGTTCTTGTGATCATTTTGACCCCACGGGGTGAGATCTTGCGTGGAGCCCCAGATCGAGGGAGATTATCAGTGGTCTTGTATGTCTTCCATTTCCTAATAATTGCTCCCACAGTTGATTTCTTCAAACCAAGCTGCTTACCTATTGCAGATTCAGTCTTCCCAGCCTGGTGCAGGTCTACAATTTTGTTTCTGGTGTCCTTTGACAGCTCTTTGGTCTTGGCCATAGTGGAGTTTGGAGTGTGACTGTTTGAGGTTGTGGACAGGTGTCTTTTATACTGATAACAAGTTCAAACAGGTGCCATTAATACAGGTGACGAGTGGAGGACAGAGGAGCCTCTTAAATAATAAGTTAGAGGTCTGTGAGAGCCAGAAATCTTGCTTGTTTGTAGGTGACCAAATACTTATTTTCCACCATAATTTGCAAATAAATTCATTAAAAATCCTACAATGTGATTTTCTGGATTTTTTTTTCTCAATTTGTCTGTCATAGTTGACGTGTACCTATGATGAAAATTACAGGCCTCTCTCATCTTTTTAAGTGGGAGAACTTGCACAATTGGTGGCTGACTAAATACTTTTTTTCCCCACTGTAGCTACCTACCTACATGTCTAAACAAAAGACTTCACTTCGCCAGAGAATTACATGACGCATCAAGTTAGCCAGGTGTGTCTGGGGGGGGGGGATACGGCTATCTATTGTATTTCATGTCTAGACAACAGTGACCCATCCACTTAACTGGATGTGGCTGGTGGGTGGTTATAGCATTTCCTTCACATTACCCATCAATTTAGACAAATGTGTCGGGTAAGCGTCATCTAATAATACAAATATTTTATAATCTGGACACTTTCTGGTTTTTGATATTAACCATTTCACTGTACCGTTCACACCTTCTGTATCCTGTGCATTTGACAAATAAACGTAAATTGTATTTAATATACTGTGTGTTTACCAGAGACGGTAATGTGAAGAACAACATGACCTGCACCAAAGTCAGATTAGGATATAGGCCAAGGAGCAGAGTATTTTAACCTGGAGTTATTCCTTATTGTAGGCTACTACTTTTAGTCTTGAAATCTTTGGTTATTTACTAAACTACTCTGTTTAGCACATGACCTCACATGTGAATCCTTAAAGAGATTGGTGGGGCTAAGGCTTAAGAGGGTGTGAATGATGCTGAATGGGTGTAGACCGAAGAGCTCTCCAGTAGGTGTACCAAAACATTCAAGGATCATTTTCTCAAAATTTGGATTACAAATTTATCAATTTTTAAAGCAGAATTACTTTCCCATTGTTCCTCAACTGCAGTGTATGATATACAATTTTCTAGCTCTGAATCGCTACTTTCATCCAATGTAAAAAAACACAATTTCACCGAATCGAGGTGGTTGGTCACATTTGGTGGCAGAGAAAGAAAGAAATGTTGTGTCTGGTAAAATAATATGTGGTACTGTGTAGGTTATAGCAATGTTTAATTAGTTATCTTATTTGCATTTGTTCAATGCCTAAACTGATTTAATAGACTATATTATATGCAGTGCTTTCTTTAAGTATTCAGACCCCTTGACTTTTTCCACATTTTGTTATTTTACAGCCTCAAAGAACTTCACTGGACTTTATGCAAACTGGAAACCACATATCATTTATTGTAGCTGGAGATTTTAACAAAGCAAATTTAAGGACTAGGCTGCCGAAGTTCTATCAACATATCGACTGTTGTACTCGCGCTGCTAAAAACCTCGACCATTGGTATTCGAACTTCCGGGATGGTTATACGGCCCTCCCCCACCCTCCTTTCGGCAAATCTGACCACGACTCCATTTTGCTCCTCCCTTCCAATAGGCAGAAACTCAAACAGGAAGTACCCGTGCTAAGGACTATTCAACACTGGTCTGACCAATCGGAATCCACACTTCAAGATTGTTTTGATCACGTGGACTGGGATATGTTCTGGGTAGCTTGCAAAAATAATTTAGACGAATACACTGAAACGGTGACTGAGTTTATCAGGAAGTGTATAGGTGATGTTGTGCCAACTGTGACTATTAAAACCTACCCTAACCAGAAACTGTGGAAAGATGGCAGCATTCGCACAAAACTAAAAGTGCGAACCACCGCATTTAACCATGGCAAGGTGACTGGGAATATGGCAGAATACAAACAGTGTAGCTACTCAGTCCGCAAGGCAATTCAACTGGCAAAACATCAGTATAGAGACAGTGGAGTTGCAATTCAAAGGCTCAGACACGAGAAGTATGTGGCAGGGTCTACAGACAATCACGGACTACAAAAGGAAAACCAGCCACGTCGCCGACACCGACGTTTCGCTTCCAGACAAGCTAAACACCTTCGTCCTCGTCCCTGACAGACCTTGAGAGGATCTGCAGAGAAGAATGGGAGAAACGCCCCAAATACTGGTGTGCCAAGCTTGTAGCGTCATACCCAAGAAGACTCGAGGCTGTAATCGCTGCCAAAGGTACTTCAACAAAATACTAAGTAAAGGGTCTGAATACTTACGTAAATGTGATATTTCCGTTTTAAAAAAGTATACATTTTCCTTTGTCATTATTGGGTAGTGTGTATATTGATGAGGGCTCCCGAGTGGCGCAGCGGTCTAAGGCACAGCAACTCAGTGCTTGAGGCGTCACTACAGACACCCTGGTTTGATTCCAGGCTGTATCACAACCGGCCGTGATTGGGAGTTCCATATGGCGGCACACAATTGGCCCAGCGTCGTCCGGGTTTGGCCTGTGTAGGCCGTCATTGAAAATAAGAATTTGTTCTTAACTGACTTGCCTAGTCAAATAAAAAGGTCAAATTAAAAAACAACAACGATTTAATCAATTTTAGAATATTTGCACATAATCTCTTGCACATCTAGCATTCCAGTGTTAATACTATTGTAATTATTTTGCACTATAGCCTATTTATTGCCTTACCTCCATAACTTGCTACATTTGCACACACTGTATATATATTTTCTGTTGTATTTTTGACTATGTTTTTTACCCCATATGTAACTCTGTGTTGTTTTTATTGCACTGCTTTGCTTTATCTTGGCCAGGTCGCAGTTGTAAATGAGAACCTGTTCTCAACTGGCTTACCTGGTTAAATAAAGGTGAAATAAAATAAAATAAAAAGACTGTAACGTAACAAATTGTGGAACAAGTCAAGGGGTCTGAATACTTTACGAATCCACTGTATATGGCTGTACAGATTCCTGGTTCAAATCAACCCAAGACGATTAACCCTGAAGATGGGACAAAATGCATAACAAGGTGGCTCAGAGGGAACCAGCTGTTCTCAACTCCTACATTGCCCCATTCTTGCAAGAGCAACCTTTTGGAAACCCCTGTATTAGAGGATAAGGAGAAGCAAGATGTATACTTCACCCAAATACTCCTCCTTGGTGGGCTTTCTGTATAATTCTCTTTTAGGGAGACTCATCAAGAAACATGTCATAGTTGGCACAGATTTGGAAAATCTATATCAGTTGCATTACCCCCCCCCCCCCCTCCGATATAACATTGATATATACAAATACGGGCCGGTACCAGTTGACACATTTGCAAGTTTATGTATTTTTATCAGCCAAAAGCTGTAAATTACCGGCTAACGTAAACACTGTCACACACATAGACATTCTCATGCCCCCCCAACCTCCACCACATCCCTTCTCCATGTTTTTTGGAAGCCGCTATCTATGACCATAACACTGTGGCAGATGGATGAGAACAGTGGAGCGGCGTAACAGACTCTTTCACACTCTCACAGGGCCCTGAGCGCCCAATTTTACAAATCCCCATTTAATTTCTCCTCTTCCATCCTTTCCTTTACCTTTTCCCTCACTCTTGACTTTCTGTCAAGCGCATGCTTATTCTCTCCCTCGCTCTCTTTGCAACCATATCTCATGTTACACCCATGGCTGAGGCATGCATTAACAGTAACAGACAATCTTTGTCCTCACGTTTCACACAATGAATGAATGCTTGAGGGAAGCCAATTGTGAGGTGGGTCATGATTCACTGAAGACCCCTTACCACGTGGCGCGTGTCCCGGGCATGCTGGGAAGTGCAGTGCTCCACCAGGCCGTCCTGGTCCAGGTTCTGGCAGTTACAGTAGGGGCAGGAGAAAGTGAAGCGGTTCGGCACAGGGCTGGGGAGACAGAGGGGAAGTGGAATGATGATATGTTTAGGTAGTGCCTCTTTTGTATGTATTATATAACCATGATCCCTCTGGGTTTGTGTCATTCCCATGAAACCCAAACACAGCGTTTATGCAAAAGTCAAAGCCACCAGTCAATAAAGACGTTAGAATATTGAGAGCCATTACAAAGTTGAGAACCTATAAAGATGGGTTGATCATCAATACATATGGAGAGAGGCAGAGAATATTACACTATAACCACATATGGATAATTGCACAGCATATCAAAGCTGCTGTACCACCACCCTCCATGTCTCACCCAATAATGTTAGGCTGGGTCTGGGCAGTGGTCCTGACCCCCTCCTCAATATACTCCTGGTACTTGGAGCACGCTGCCGTGTGGCCTCTCATCTGGGACAGGCCCACCTGAGAGTCGATAAAACACAAGGCATCAATGCTAATGGTAGTGCACTTTATTCAAAAACATAGGTAGATTTAAGCACATGTACAATAGATAATTCACTCACTAATCTTAATTCCTTTGACTATTCACATTGTTTTACAAACTGCTATACACACACACACACACCTGTGCTCCACAGCCCTTGCAGGCCGCCATTGAGGTGTGTATGAGGTCCTCTAGATCAGTGGCTTTGGCCCAGTGGCCCAGTGTTGCCCTACAAACGGCACACACTGGCTTCTGGGGTCGCAGGCACTCCTGCAGACAACTTTGACAAAACCTAAGGGTGGCGGGAGAGAAGGGAAAGGAGATAGAGATGTAACTCATTCATAGGCTAAAATGAAAGCAAACATATAGCCATCGTATTGCAGCAGGAAAACGAAAGTGAAACGTCTGGTATGACAAAACAACAATACAGATTTTTGAACCACTATGTTCATCACTGACAATTGCTTACTTTACTTTGTGAAATTAGACGACGGTACGAGTAGAACTGGTTTGTTTAATTGATCAATTCTATTCGTGATACAAACGAAAGACCTGTCCTCTGGGGACTTTGGGTTTTGTAGTTCTTTACAAATCTACAGAATGCATTTCTTACATAATTTAACTACAAACGCCACAATTCATTGAAGCCCATTTCTTGACGTAAACAAAACTGAAAGTAAAGCATATATTTATGAACTTGCAAATATATTACCAACATATAACATTGAAAGCCAAAGGAAATGGCAAGTTAAATATGATTTCCTGTCAGTAGTTAGCTTGCCGGATCACATAACGTTACATGTTCAATCCCTTAGCTAGCCAGCTCACAACACAGGTATCTTGCTGGTTAACGTCAGGCAGTTTAGCTTGAACTTGGATGATGTCTAGCTAGCTACGTTTACAGACAAACAAGTATATATTTGTGTAAAGATACTTACGTATGTCCACATTGTGTTGTGACAGGGCTATCGAAAATCTCGAGACAAACCGGACAGACGAACTCTGTCCCGTCCCTGTCGCCGCCAGAAACATTTTTCTTCTGCTGTGCTGAGCTAAAAGATCCTAGCATCGCCATTTCTACTCTCTCGGCTGTCTGAGGGGGGGGTGGAGCATCCTTAGTTTTTTGTTGTTGAAGTTTGACAGACATGGTAATCTTGAGCTGGGTTCAGCAGGGGTGTATTCACTAGAAACCAAACAGAAGCAAACGAAACAGGGAGGCACCTTCCTGGATTTCTCCAATAGAAACTATACTTTTGTTGAAAAACGTTTCTGAAACTGTTTGCTACGGGTGTGTACTTATGAATACACACCTGGACACAACGTTAGACAATGTTCAGATATAAATGAATGATGTAGAGCAGTGATTCCCAACTTTCTTCGGTTACTGTACCACCAACTGAATTTTGCTCCCTCATAAGCATTTTATCAGTAGGCCTATGGTCTCATGAGTCTTCCCAAGTACCTCCATGGTATGGAACGCTGATAGGCTCCAAAAGTACGTTGTCAAACGCGATCTTTTGAACGCTATGCATGTAAAGTAAGCTGGTGCAGGCGCTAAATTAACATGTTAAGTTAACACTTTCACACGCTAAATTAACGCGTAAAATAAGCGCGTGCAAATGTGCTTGTAGGCAGTCCAACATGTGCTAAATAAACGTCTGCAAGCGGTCCTGCACACTCAAATTAACGCCTACAGCTGTTAAATATACACCTACACACACTAATTTAACACGTTCTTTAATATGCTAATTTTACCAGCCAATTTCCCTAGCTCCTCCTTTCAACCACATTTCACAATTTGAAGGAACTTCCTTTTCCACTGCAAGCAGGGCGAATCTTCTGAAATGAAAAGTGAAGCACGTTGGCGGACATTGACGGCTAGGCACGCGGACGAACCACGGCACACGGTTGTGAATCGAGAGGGATTTTTGAAATCGTTGAAAAACGAACAAACTTTACACGGTGTGGCGGAGGTTCGGCACGGCCGTGCTGTGAATGGTTCAGAGATGGTAGGAGATAGTGATGGAGAGTAAAGTGAAACAAGTATGGAACATAGTGGTACAAATAAAGGAGGGAGTAAGAAAGAGAAAAAGAAAGCAGGAGAGAAAGGGAGTAGGGGTATGAAGGGGAGCGAGAGGTCTATGGAGGTAGAGAGGAGGCAGAAAATGAAGTTTGAGGAGAGAAACCTAGCTTCCAACGCTAGCGGAAGTTCGGAGGTAGAAAGTGCAGAAGGAGGGCAAGATAAGACACGAGAGGAACATGGAGGTGAGGAGGAGCATAAAGTCATTATTAAGTTTAGGGAGGAAGGGGGAGTTGGGGTGATGAGTCCGATAAGGTTGATGGCTGTGATAAAATAGTTGATTGGGGAAATTGTTAATGCTAAAGTGTTAAGAGATGGGAGATTGTTGGTGTTCTGTAAGGACATGGCGCAGAGGGAAAAAACTATCGGAGTGAAGCAAATAGGGAAGTGTAAGGAGGAGTCGAGCAGCTGGACTGATCAACCAGGGAAGCAGTGGAGTAAATGGGTGATAACAGGAGTGCCTGAGAGTGTTAGCATTAAAGAGGTAAGGGACAATTTGAGAGCAGGCGTTCTAGTGAATGTACAAAGATGGAGGGGGTGGAGATAGGGTAGATATCACCTTCATAAAGCAAGGAATTCCCTACAAGATGATAGGCAAAGGTATTGAACAGGAGTATGTGGTGGTGAAGGTGTGGATGAGAGGAGGGGTGCTAGTGGTAGTGAATTACTATAATCTGTGTCAGATATTGGACATGGAAGTGCTGGAGAGGGTGGAGGGCAAGGAAATTAGTAAGGTAATGTGGTGTGGGGATTTTAACGCCCACGACACACTTTTATTTTTTTGGGGGGGGGGTGGAAATGGCCAAATGATGCAACATTTCATAGAGAAGAAAGATCTGGTGTGCCTGAATGATGGCCGAGGGACCAGGATTGATGTAGCCACAGGGAAAGAGTCTGTGGGTTCAGTTTCAGGAGCTGAGTGAGCAGGTGATGGCTCGGGTGGCTTTGAGAGGATGTAGATAGTATGAATAACTGGGTGAGAACAGCGTTAGTGGGAGCAGCTACTGAGGCTATACCTAAGAGTTCAGGGAGGAGGAGGAGGAAAGCAGTCCCATGGTGGACGGAGGAATGTGGGGCAATGGTGAGGATTAGGAACAGGGCATTTAGAGTACTGAAAAGGATGCATAACTTCCAACATCTGATTCAGTATAAGCAGGCCCAGGCCATGGTGAGAAGAACTATATCTGTCAGGCAAAGAGGTCATGTTGGCATCGGTTCTGTGACACCATTGGAAGGGCAACACCTGTGGGAGAAGTGTGGGGGATGATTAAGAGGGGGAGTGGGATTATCCTGTGGGGAGGATGTGGCAGTAACAGATGAGGAGAAAGCAGAGATGATGGCCAAAGCATTTGTCCAAGTGCATAGCTCCGCAAATCTGTCAGAGGAGGGGCAGAGGGGGAGAGAGAACACGAGAGAGGAGCATCCTGGAGTGTTGGGAAGGAGGGAGGATGTAAATGATGCGTTGAGTGCACCATTTACCAAGGCAGAGGTGAAAAGAGCAATAGGTAAGGGTGGGTTAACGTCACCTGGGAAAGATGAGGTGTGCTATGTTATGTTGGCCCATCTTAGTGATGAGGCACTGGATAAGGTATTGGTGTTGTACAACAGAGTGTGGGAGGAGGGGAAACTACCAGGCAGTTGGAAGGAGGCAGTAGTGGTACCAATCCGGAAGCCCGGGAAGGATCCAAGGAAGCCAACAAGCTATCGGCCAATAGCTTTAACATCACATGTATGTAAGATTATGGAACGTATGATTACGGAGAGGCTAACTTACTTCCTAGAGAGCAGATGGCTAGTAACGCCACATCAGAGTGGGTTCAGGAAGGGTAGGGGAACTATGGATCCAGTGCTCTGCTTAGAAGCAGAGATCAGGAAGGCTCAGGTGAACAAGGAGACTGTTGTAGCTGTCTTTTTTGATGTGGAGAAGGTGTATGATATGATGTGGAAGGAGGGGTTGTTAATCAAGCTTGATATTATGAGGGTAGGAGGAAGAATGTACAAGTGGATAAAATATTTCCTGTTTGGAAGGTCTATCCAGGTGAGGGTGGGGAAGTCTTTATCAGTATTATACTTGGTGGATAATGGTACACCGCAGGGGAGCGTGATTAGTCCTCTGTTGTTCTCAATCATGATCAATGATGTTTACTCTCAGGTACAGCCGGATATAGGGAGGTCGTTATTTGCAGATGATGGTGCCTTATGGAAGAGGGGAAGAAATCTGCCATACATAGTCAGGAAGGTACAGGAAGCAATTGATGAGGTAGAGCGGTGGGCATTCATGTGGGGATTCAGGTTCTCTGTAGAGAACTCAAACAGTGTTCTTTACCAGGAGGAAGGTGGGAGATGAGGTATGCTTGAGGTTATATGGGATAAACTTGGAGAGGGTGGTGGCCTTCAGGTTCCTTGGGGTATACTTTGATACTAGACTGACCTGGGCAGAACACATCGAGAGAGTGGTGGGAAAGTGAAAGAAGGTGCTAAATGTGATGCGCTGTCTGACGGGGAAGGTGTGGGGGGCTGGGCATTCCTCATTGAAGACCATGTATGTTGCATTGATCTGATTTGTAATAGACTATGGAAGTATAGCATATGGTTCGGCAGCCCGGACCTCACTGGAAAGGACTCAGAATACAGGGGAAGGACTCAGAATATGTAGTGGGGCGTTTTAAACGTCCCCAGTGGCTGCATTACAGGTGGAGATGGGGGATATGCCATTGCAGATTAGGAGACAGCAGCTGGCAATGAATTACTGGGTCAACCTACAAGGACATGGGGTGTCTCATCCTGCAAAATAGATTTTACAGGCATGCTGGGAACATGAGCGATGACCGAACACAAGCTTTGGGTGGGTGGGTAATACCCAGGCGAAGGAGATGGGACTGCATGGAAGGGAGTTTAGTCCAACGGTAGTTATTCCTGTAAATCCACCATGGCTACTCCTGTCTCCAGTAGTTGATCTAGAAGTTTTGGAGAGACTACAGAAAGATAGGGAGGCTGTTGATCCAGCTGATTTCTTTAACAGACGTCTGGAAACTGTGTATCAGGATTTTGTGGCCATTTACACAGATGTTTCAAAAGATCCAAGGACAGGACGCACTGGGTCAGTGTTTGTAGTGCAGGAATGTGGGGTGGAAGTCAGGAAACGTATTACAGATCATCTGGCTGTATATATGGCGGAGCTGATGGCCATACTGTTGGCCTTGCAGTGGGTGGAGGAAGTTAAGCCAGACAGAGTAGTTATTTGCTCTGATTCATGTGCAGTGTTAATGAGTCTCCAGTACTTTAGCTCACGTAGCAGATAAGAACTGCTGTATGAGGTGCTACAAACCCATGGCAGGATTAAACAGATGGGTATTCAGATAAGATTTACTTTGGTTCCAGCCCATGTGGAGGGGAACGAGGCTGTAGATGAACAGGCTAAACAAGCACTTAGTAGTGGGGATGTTGAAGTGTCAATGAGCAAGGCAGAGGCAAAAATACTGATATAAACAGTGATGGTGAAGAGATGGTAGTAGTAGCAGTGGAATATAAATAATGGAAGGCATTTATTTCAAGTGCAGAGGAAAGTCTGGAAGGATGGCAGGAAGGGACAGAAGAGAGGAGGCTATTTTTACAAGATTAAGGGTGGGCAGTATCAGTTAAACGTGATAGGAAAGCATCCATCAGGAAAGTGTGATTATTGTCAGGAAATAGAGACCGTGGAGCATGTATCGCTACAGTGTGGGCAGTATCAGAGGGAAAGAGAGAGGATGAGATTTAGTATGAGGGAGAAGGGGATACAGGAAATTAGTTTAAAGAGTATATTGAGTAGAGCGTCATTAGATATAGTGTCAAATATTTTGTTATCTTTTTTAAGAGAAACGGGGTTGGCAGGGAGGATTTAGTTTATCCCTGTCTCTGGCCCACACTCCAGTACGGTAGGTGGCGGTAATGCACCATAACGTTGGATGCCAACCGCCTATAAACCCCACTGAAGAAGAAGACGCTGCAAGCAGAGTATGAACCTTCCTTCATTCACAAGGTAACGGTTTTGTATTTTAAAATTGTTGTAACTGAATCATACAGTTTTT